CACCCACTCATAAAACTCATTTACCCAAAGATAATTTCATGCAAAAAATAATTTTTAATAATTATTTATTATTTTTTATTATTTAATTAAAGTGAGGATGAAAAATTTTTGAATTATAAGGTATGAATTTTTTTATACCATATTAATCTACATATTTTTCAATTGAAAAATCTAAAGTTTCAACTTTTTTGATTTATTAAAAGCTGAGAAAATTTAAAATTAATTAATTTTAAAAAATAATTTGGCGACAAAAAAAAATAATTAAATGGGGCGATTAATATTAAAATGTGATAAACTTGCGAGGAACTTGACTTCGCGCGCGTAGCGTAAAATTTCATTCATATTTTTTTCGCTAATAACCGTTTGCTAATCTTTTTATTTTTATTTCTTTCGAACTATGAAATAGGACATTTTTTTAGTCGTTTAATGATTTATTTGCAATTTAGTAAAAAAATTTGAATGAAACATTTTGAATAAAAAACATTTTATTCAACGAATGTCTAGTTTTATAAAAGCGTGCTTCTGATAGAATATGATTATACACCAGATTGTGCTAATTTAATGCGATTATTTTTTATTTTTTGATTTTGTTTTCCAATAACAGATACAATTTCAATAATATACATACGTATGCACAGATTTGGAATAATATTAATCGTCCCTTCTAAATTATGAATGTTTATCATTGTGTAATCCGATGATGTTTTTATTATTATTATAATTAGATCACTTTTTTGTTTACTCTTTTCCCCATATTTTTTGAGGCTTTTTTTAATCTTTTTAAGTATTTTTTTTATCTTCGTCATACTTTCTGCTTTAACTTTTTTTTCAGCTCTTTCAATCTCTTTAAATTTTCGTTCTTTTTCTGAAGTTAATGCAAAAAAAGTAATTTTTTTCTTTTTATTTAATCTTCCTCTTTTTTCCAAATTTTTGGCCAATGCAAATGTATCTTCGAAATTTCTTTTGATTTTCCAGTACCATTTCTAGAATTCTTCACTGGATAATAAATGAGAAAAAGGATCACGAAGTTCGAGTATAATCCATCTCTCATTGACTTATATCTTGTGGGTCATCAGCAGTACTTACCATTTACTAATGGAACCAATTGTTTTTGCAACTAACAATGCCTTAAGAGGACTTATCTCAAAATCAGTTTTCAATAAGATACTTTCATTATCATTGTTAGTTGTATCAGCTTCAGAGCCAAAATTTGATTAACCAAATGTTCTTTTTGAAATAAATTCTTCCATATTGAGAAAAGTACAGGCTATTGGATATTTGGGAGATTAAACTTTTCTGTCAGTGCTCCTTTAAAAATTTGCTTATAACTTTAAAAATTAAAAGTTATATTTAACTTAAAAATTAAAATTTTGAGACCAAATAATTTGAGTTAATGAAATTAAATATTTTATCTTTCAAGTTTTTGTGCCCCCATTTCAGTATCTTAAGGATCTTACAAGC